AAGTGATAAGATAGTAGGCTTTATGGAAGTCAGTATACATTGAACAAAAAGAAAAAAATATTGAGAATTACTAAGAAATGGTAATTATTCAAGAAAAAGATCTTGATTCAGAGATGAAAATAATTATTGAAACTAAAGCATGGCTTGAGGAAATCATTAAGTCTGAGTAAAAGACTTATTCATATATACATTTTCTTTGAGTATAAAAAGGAATCCTGAAGAGTTTAGTATGAAGATGTGGTTACTTTTTCAGTCCACTAGAGTTTATAGTTTATTAAAATTGTGGCGTATCCTGGACAGGAACACTTGGGCCATCTCCAATTCTTCTAAGGAACTAGCAGTCCATTCAGATGTGCTCGGGGCCAAGAAGACACTGGAGGATCTCCACATCCTTCCTTTCATATATTACATTTTTCCTGCAAGTTCCTTTTTGATTAGATTTTCTGAAGAGTCTGTCCACTACATATTTGCCATTGTCATGTATTTGAGAGTCTGTTTATTATACACTGACTGGGAAGGGGATGTGAAAAAGTCTGAGCAGTAGGTGATCACTGGTAGAATGAATGGGTTCAGTAAGGTGCTGGTAGTTAGCCATAGACTTTTTAAAAAAATTGAATTTATTGGTACATTCTAGGTAGACAGTACAGTTACATTCATTACTGGGATCTTGTACCTTTACGTGCCAGGTCTTGGTTCTCATTTTTTCCCCTTGTCCCCACCCTGCCTTCACCCTCCCCTCCCCTCCCCACTTCAAACACTTTAATTCCATTTTTACATTTTCTCATATTTTTTTCCCTTTCCCTTATTCCCCCTTCCCTATTCTTCTCACTGTCCCTACACCTTTGGTCCTTTTCTTCCTATTTGCTAAGTGTCCCATTAGGATCTTGAGTACTATTATAGTTTTTCACATCAGAGATACTATTCGGTATTTGCATATGTGTGCCTTATTTATTTCACTTAGGAGTATATCCTCAAAATGTATTCATTTAACTATGAATGAATCTACTTTCTCATTCTTTATGGCTGAGTAGTATTCCATGTTGTAGAAAAGCCACATCTTCTTTATCCAGTTTCCAACTGATGGGCAAATGGGCTGTTTCCAAGTTTTAGCTATTACAAACTATGCCGCTATAAACATGGGTGGGCATATATCACTGTGATATGATTCTTTCACTTCTTTTGGAGAGGTACCCAACAGAGTGATGTCTGGGTCAAATGGAATCTCTAATCCTAGTTCTTTGAGGTATCTCCATATTGACTTCCATAGTGGTTGGTTGCAGCAGTCTGCACTCCCACCAGCAATGGAGAAGGGTTCCTTTCTCCCCACAACCGTGCCAACATTTGTTATTGTGTGATTTCTTGATAGCAGCCATTCTTTCTGGGGTGAGGTATAATCTCACTATTGTTTTCATCTGCATCTCTCAAATGACCAGTGATGTGGAAGTTATTCCCTGTATATTATCAGATCACAGTGCAATAAAGCTGGACATCAATAGCATAAGAAACTGTAGGAAGTTCACAAACACATGGAAACTGAACAACACTCTCCTGAACCAGCAATGGATCACAGAGGAAATCAAAAAAAGAAATCAGACAGTTTTTACAAATAAATGAAAACACCAATACAACATACAGAAATCTATGGGACACAATGAAAGCAGTTCTAAGTGGAAAATTCATAGCACTGAATGCCCACATTAGGAAAACAGAGCAAGCTCAAATAAACAACCTAATGATGACCCTTAGACTCCTAGAAAAACAAGAGCAAGAAAAACCCAAAGCTCGAACAAGAGAGGAAATTATAAAGATTAGAGCAGAAATCAATGCAATGGAAACTAAGGAAACGATACAAAAAATAAATGAATCCAAGAGTTGGTTTTTTGAAAGACTAAATAAAATTCATAGACTTTTAATATGCTTTTTATTTTTGGTGCCTTTGGACACGGACATGGCCAACTAATTCATTTATTTGCACAATTGCATACAAAAATATTCTTTAATGAAACATAACATTTAAAATGCCTCAAGGCCTTTGATTTGAGTAATGTTTTCTTTACTAGAGCAGCACAATGGTATGTAGAATGTACCTCAGATAAGAAGCCTTTGCTTCTGACTTCTGACATTCTCTGAGTTTGTTTCCACTTTTAGGAAAAAAAAAAAAAGAAGGGGAAAAGACTGTGAGAAAGACTCAGTGATGTATTGTAAAATAGGAAAGCATTTTATACATGATAAATTACTAATCAAATAAAATCACTTTTATTTTGAAATATTAGTAGTAAATAATTCTGCACTTTCAGAAAAATGGCATAGATCAGTACAGAGAATTCTATATGCCCTCACTCATATTCCCCATGGTAACATTTTCCTACTCTACTTATTCTTTCTTCTCTCTTGCTCTCTCCCTCTCTCTCCCTTTCTCTCTCTCTCTCCCTCCTCCCCTCCCTCTGTGTATGTGTTTTATTTAGAACTACTTGAAAGCAAGTTGTACCTCTTAAATACTTCATTGTGAATTTCTTGAAAACAAGGACATTTTATATAATTGTATATATATACATATATATATATACATGCATACACACTATGATAAGGAATAGACTGATATACATATTTCACCATTTGGCTTACTGATGTATGAAATTTAGTATTATCAAATGTCATCAACTTTAGAAATGTGAATTAAAATACATAAAAATTCTAGAAGAGAAAATAGAAAGGAAAAAACTATAGAAAGGAAAGTATGGCAATTTTGCTCCTTGAATAAAGTCTACTTTTTAAAAAATAACTTTACTAATATGGATGGTAACTTATTTTACTAATGTGGATATTCTATTTTAAACTCATAGCAGAAGACAAGTATTATACAGATAGGAATGTCTTTATTAAACCTGGCAGCTCTGTGATTATCTTTAAGATGTGAAGTATATTTGTATCTGGAGAAGTGTCTATGGGGCAATGGCATGCAGTAAATTACATTTAAATAGAAAAGAAATATTCAGGTTCAATCTAAGCCTAGGATACCGTGTTAAACTTTAGATACTTCAGAAACAGTACTTTGAAGAAAATTTGAAACCAGGCCAGGAGGAAGCAATTACAGTGATTAAAAAAAAAATTAATTTATAAGTAAAGATTTAAGTAGAAAAATATATAGCTACACAGGTAATGACTACAGACTATATTATATTATACAAACATGTGAAAGTTAAAAAGGAAGGAAGGAATTATTTAATATAATATAAAATAGTAAGTTACAAGAGTAATTTAAGCAGAGGAACTCTGTTATGAAAAGCATTAGTTTTTGGGAAGTTCTTCTACAGGAAGTTGAAATGCTTATTCTTTTGAAAATTTGAATCTAGAAGGGAATGATTCTTGACTGTGAATAGCTGTTTTCTGTCAAGTGGAAAGACTGACCAAGTCATCTGGCTATCCATTCTTTTTCATGGACAAAAAAATCAAACATATTAAATCTAAGATCAGTTAATATACTTTCTACCAGTTATTCAAGAGCTCATTTTAGTTTCTAGGGCCTCGATAACATTTTGTACTACATAATTAAGCTCTGTATTATATACTTATTTCAGTTGTCTATTATCTTTTATTTTGAAGGGGTGAGTAATGGCTTGAGGCTTTATATTTTTATTCTAAACAGAAGCTACCAGTGTTGGACACCTGTTTTAATATATGCTTCATTAAGTAGAAAGCCTTATTTGCTTCTCAAGTAGGGTGTTTGCATTCAAACTGACTGCAGAAAATATTTGAGGTACTTCTGGACATGTCCTATTTTTAACACACACACACACACACACACACACACAAACATACACACATACTTTTCTTTGCCATTCCATTCTCCTCACCAATTAATTGCCAGGTAAAACAATGTATCTCATTTATTCTCTACATTCAATTCTTTTTTTTTTTTTTTTTTCGTACCAGGGATCAAACTCAGGACCCTGAGCTTGCAAGGCATTTGGCAGAACCACTGAGCTAAATCCCTGGCTCAATACTTGTACTTTTTCAGTTTTTGAACTTTTTCCTCTCCCATGAGATTTTGGCAACTGTTAACACTCTTCTTATTTTACTGTTTTTCTTTTTCTATTCCTTTTTTACCTTGATGCCAGAGCCATCTTTCTCATTCAAATATATTATTATCTTTTGTTGCTTCAAAAATATTCAGTGGATCATACTTCCTTACAGAATAAAGTTAAAATCTATTATTCAAATTTATCCAGGATCTATCCTTAATTTATTTTCATTTTCAGCCTGATCTCTAGCTACTTCTTGTGTTTCTAGTGCTATTAATGACTTCACTCTCCCCACCACTTGCTCTTGTTCTTTTGGCCTGAATCCTTCTCATCCTCCATGGTCCCATTCAGAAACCACTTTAGGAAGTTTCTCTTAAATCCTTAAGCGATATTACTCAACTCTTTGCATTTATTTGTAGCATTTACATAGTTGAGATTAGTTTCGTGTCCTCCTAGACAGAATAATTTCCCTGAGGACAAAACCTGGATTTGACCTAACGTACACACTCCTGAACATCTGGCTTTGTGCATAGTAGGCATGAATAGTGTGTGTTTAGAGAACAAAAGACTTGGTGGCCATCATCTCCATGTGGAAGAAATTCCAGAAATCAACAACATGGTAGGATGGATGCATTTTCCCCAACTATTGTGGATTTTCCTGAACTCTCTAATTAGGCAAAGTATCATATAAATAATTTTGAAAAATTTCCTTAGATTGGTTCCAGATTTGACTGACTCAAGCAACAAAGTATGTAATGTTCTACAACTACTACTTATTTACATCTTCTATTGTACTCAGACTTCTTAGCATTTTTTTCTTGGCCATTATTACCATCAAACATATAATTAGGTGATTGATTATTAATTATTTTCTCTCTTCTTCCTCTGGAGTGTGTGAATCAAGACATGAATGATTTCTTTATTTTTTTTGTCAGATCATCATTTTATTGAAATTTTTCTTTCTTAGGTTTCTTATTCTTAGCTAGCTGGGCACCCCACAGTACCGGTGTTGATGTTGTCTATGATGTCGTGCGGGTGCCGGCCAAAACAGACTGGGTGGTCCGCAGGATCTCTTTAATGGTTCCGGAAAGTTTTCTGGCTAAAGACCGGTGCCACATCTGTCGGGCAATATTTACAGCCTCATCAAAAGTGATGTTTCCGGTGCCCAGGATTTGTCTCAATGATTCTGCCACCCGCCTTGCAAGTGCAAGGTCCTGAGTTGGATCCCTGGTACCACCAAAAAAAAAAAAAAAAAAAAAAAAAAAAAAGTGATAATTCCACTGTGTTCGTGTTTTTCTGCTTCTGTCTGTCTCTTGGTGGCTTCTTGAGGGCGATGATGATCAGGGCAGAAGCAGAAGGCACCTCCTCAATCTGGGCCTGTCTGTTCTGAACGGTCAGCTTCACCATAATCCTCAGGCCCTTCCAGTCTCCAGTGGCCTTGGCGATGTCGTCACCCAGGCTTTCTGGAGACAGACCCAGGGGACCGATCCGGGGGTCAGGGCGGACATAGCGCAACTTTGCCACAGTTGTACCTCAGGTACATGACTTTGGCCTTGTTGGGGTCAAGCTTGAGCAGCACAGTGGAGGCGGCTGGTGTCAGATAAAGCTGGATTCCGGACAATGGAAGAAAGTTGCACCTTAGCCTCTTCCTAGCCAAAAGCCAAAAAAAGTGCGATTTTGTTTCTGTTATTGCTTTTTCCCTATCACTCTCAACAAAGCTTCATACATAACAAGTGTTCAGAATGTATTTTTTGAATAAACAATTAGTTTTACATTGCATTATTTGTGTTATTAAAAGAACTACCTTTTTTCTCAGTGTCAGTTTTGAGACTATCGAGTTTGGCATTTTAGAAAACTAAAAAAAGGAAAAAGAAAAAGAAAATTCAAAGCCTACCATAACAGTATGAGTCATCAGACATCCCACATTAATTAATTAGACTTAATTGTAATTCCAAAATGGTTCACCACTGTTGGTGAATGTTAACTGTAGTTATCTGCATCTATACAAAACAGAAAAAACATGAGGTTTTTATATATAGAACCCTGTACTTACTATAGCAAATGGAATACATTTCAAGTACAACTTAGCTTCCTAAATAATTCTTTGACTTTGGGGATAATGATGAATCTGATTTGATATAATTTTTGGCACATTGTTGTACATTATTTGGTTTTCATCATCCTTATTCCTTCCATAGATTGTCACTGAAAAAGCTATTCTGGTTCGCTTTTGAATTGCCATATCCTGCCAACCTGTGGTAGAATTTCTAAAAGGCTTTACACATTTCAAGGGCAGAGCTTATGCAGCTCAAGGAGGAAAAGTAAAATGCATAGGTGCCCTAAACTGTGTAAGCCCGTGGTTGACACTTTGCCCTTAGATTGTGGTTATCAACTGACTTTCCATTGGATTTGTAATTAGGTAACTTAAAAACAAGATAGAAACCTTAATATAGGAGCCAGCACTATCATAATTTTTGAGTTTACAAGATTTCCTAGGATTTAAGTGAATTATTACTGGTCCTCCTATTAACAGGAGAAAATACTTAGTTCCTCTCAAGAGACCACTTGATTTTCTGCTATGTTACCTGTTGTGTATGTGTTTTTTTTATCTCTTACCTTCTTTTCCTCCCAGTCTTTACTGATAATTTGGGATTTTATATGTAGCAAGACTTCCTCAGGGCCAAAATCAGTGCAATAAATGCCTAGTTCATGTGGAGAGTTTTGATTTCTTAAAGGATTGAAGCATAGGTTTTGACCATTTTTAAAGGTTTGTTCAATTATGAATTAACCAAATTCACGACACTCACTTCTCAGATACTGCTGGATTATGATTTGGTTCTAAACATGCTAATTTGTAGATAAAGTGATGCCAAAAGGTAAGGCAAATTCGAGACATATCGCTGAGAAGAGACTGGAAGGGATTCTGAATTTCTGAAGGAGCATCATTTCGCTGCTGCGTTTTGCTGGAGGGTTTTCTGTGATCTTGGCAAGTCTCTATTCCATTTGTCTTAGTGTTCCCATCTGTAACATCGTGGTCATTACACTTGACACTTCCTTTCCTAAAAGGGGATGTTATGAGGATGAATAAGGTAATGCGCTATGGTAAAATGCTTTGAGCACTCTAGAAGAAAGGTGTTACATAAATACAGAGTATTATCTCACAGGAAAAATCGCTGTGATACTTTAAAGATAGTGACTACGAGGCACAATCAGCTCCTAATCTGTTTTTTTTTTTCTGAGTGCAGAATGTTTCTTTCATTGAAAGAAATGATGTTCATATATTGATTGGCAAATACATCTTCACCTTTCTCTATTAGTGTGTCACTAATACATTTCTAAAACTTAAATAGTTCCCAAACACATTATTAATCCTTTTGTTCCTTACACTGAAAAGTTTGGACTAATCTTCAGTTTCTTTCTTTCATTTGACCACTAAGTTCTTACAGTTTTTGCTTGGTGATATTTATGAATTCTCTTTTCTTTCTTTTTATATGGTGAATAACACCCAGGGAGTTACAGTCGCTAAGAGATCAGACTCAAGATCCACAGTGCCTGGATTAAAATCCCAGGTCCCTTATATTCTGTGCAAATCTGGTCATATAATTTAACTGCTTTGTGCCTCAACTTCCTCATCTGTAAAATGGGCATAATAAGGATGCCCACATAAACAGATTGTAGAGGGAAATGAGTTAATACTTAGAAAGTTACACATAGTGGTGCCTGACATATAATATACTCTCAGTAAACTTTGGCCATTATTACCATAACTGCAATAATCTTGTATTCATTTCTTATGTATCAGATTTATTGAGGTGCTTGCATATTCTACTAATATGCCTTTAAAACCCTATTCAACTTTCTTTTTAAAATTATTATTTGCCTTTCAATTTTGAATTAAATTTCCCCCAAGCTCCAAAACAAACATCATCTATCTGCTAGTCATATGCTTGAAAATTACACTTCGGACATTCCTCATGAGCTTCTTGATTTTATTCAAACTATCTAACTTCACTGTGAGCAACACACAAGTGAGCATGCGGCTTTGATCAGGTTTATGTCCCTGTCATCCTTCACCAATATGGCATCAGTTTCTACTCTTAGCTCTTTAAGAATATATACCCCTCCTAGTGGCTTATATGTGCATCATCAAATGAATGGATAAGGGCATTGTGCTGTTTGTATACCGTGGAATACTACTTGGCCATAAAGGAAGACAAACGTGTCATTTTGGGGAAAATGAAGGCACCTTGAGACCATAATATTGAATGAAATAAGTCAGATACACAAGTTTAAATGTCACATGGTTTATCTTATATGAGAATCCCAAAATATAAATGAAGAGCAAAATAAAAGATACACAGAGGACTTACGGAGATAGATCTGAGAAAAGAAATGAAGATGTGTGGTGCACACGTACCAGCTCCCCACAAGGAACGTCAGCATGTACTGCAAACCTGCTGCGGTAACAAGGAAGATGATCTGGAAAGAGAAGAACATATACCTACCCTTTCCCTGCTTCAAATATCAGCTCCTCTGCGGAGCTCTGCCTAAGGATTCCCTCTTTCTTTTGATCTGTCTAATCACTTTAAGAATAATAACACACTAGCAATTACGTAGATCACTGATGTATAACTGAATTTGATGATTTACTTGGTGTATTTATATTTTTATGTACAGTGTAACTTTACATTGCTGTTTGAATCAGCTTAAGGCATTTGCCATATCACAGAGAGGAGTCTGGAGACCTTTTCTCCCTTTCCATGGGTACTGTACATTAGGCAGAATTGAGCACTGTATGTGCAGAGTTTTCTGATAAGCTTCTGAAATTATCCTTTGTTGATTTAACAGTTCCATAGCATACGGCTCCTCTGACTTCCTGTTTAGTCTCTCAGGTCCCAAAATTTTAAATGAACTGCTTACTATGGTAAGTTTCTAACTAAGCTCTTGTCATATGTAAATGCATTGTTTTAGGGAGCCTTAGAGAAAAGTTCTAAGCAAACAGTAATAACTACCCATATAATCATAGAATCTGGAGGATGAAAGGTCCTAAAATATCATCTATTCTTGAAGACCAAGAAATTACAGTAGTCCATTTCTACTAACTTAATAAGGGCTACTCTTATAGAATGATGTGGTAGTTCAATAAGTCCATAGAATACTGATCCTAAATATCATTCATTTCTGCTTTACATATACTGTATAATGTCATTCTAGCAAAGCTCAGAGCCCATGAAATTCTGTTTTGTGTGTGTGTATGTGTAGGACAATGGTAAGGGAAGGAAGCTCACACCTTTGTAAAAACTGCGCAGAAAAGAAAAATATTTACTGAAGCAGATATCTGAGAGGAAGAATTGAAAATCAAGACTGAAAATTTACTTCCTCAGAATACATAGAAGTCTCTCTCTCTCTCTCTCTCTCTCTCTCTCTCTCTCTTTTTTTTGGTACCAGGGATCGAACTGTGGTCCTTGTGCTTGTGAGGCAGGCGGTGGAACCTCTGAGCTAAATTCCCAGCCCTACATACAAATCTTTAAGAAGGTTTTGGGCTTCTTTAGGGACAGGTTTTAAAGTTTGAATGAATCTTACCCAGTTCTCAAGGAACAATGTGCCTGAATCTAGTATGTGGGCTGCTTATATGACACTATAAGGTATCAGGGATGGTTTTCATTGAGCACTTTGGAAAATTCATCCCATGATCTAGAGCCACAGCCCATCTGCATTAGAATTGTATGGAATTTTGTTACAATTCTAGACTTTATTCCAGAACTATTAAAAGAATTTCTGGGGTTGGGTGCAGAGATTCTTAAGCACACTCAAGCTTAAAAACACTGCCTTTGAAGCATATCTCCTATTTTGTGTATATTTCCCCTTTAGACTATTGGTATCTTGAGATCTATATTATTTTATATTTTTGCAAAATTTATGGGGTTTCTATTTAATTTGTCGGCCCCTTGGAGACTATCTCATCACAAATGCTCAATAAATATTGTTAAAATAGAATGAAATTACTACCAATGTATTTGCCATTTTATATAGTACCAGAAAAATCTCACAAGATGTAAGAAAGAATATAATCATGTAAAAAATGCCTGGTCTCATTGTATTCTTGAAAATTGCTAAGTAATAGATTTTAAGTGTTCTCACCACACAAAGCTAAATATGTGAGGTGTGCATTTGTTAATTAACTTCATTTAGATGTTTCATAACATGTGCATTTCAAAACATGTGCACAGCAAATGTATAATTGTTAATTTGTTGATTATAAACAAACCAATAAATGTCTACTACCTTTTGATTTTCCCTCTTGAGGTTCCTGAGCACCAATATGTCAGTTGGTGACAGTTGGACTATGACTTGAACTGACAGTCAACAATATTCACCTATTTTAATACGCAATAATATTAAATGTTCACCAAAATACTCACTTAAACAAATCTTTGCAAACATTTCCTTGTTTAATGGTGAGAAAACTCTCTATTTCCTAATTATATAATGACACTAAAACAGCAACAACAACCAATCAACCCAACAAAACCCCCCCAAAGCTTAACTCAGACTTGTGAGAAATAAAAATGTTTACTCTTTTTTTTCAAATCTAAAAATCTCTCTGGGGTCTGATAGCCTATAGAAAACATTACAGTAAGCCTTTCAATGGCTCTAGCTGGCCAGGAAGCCTCTATTGTACAGCTGTGCAGTAATATATTTCAGCATGTTATTTCCTTTTTAAGAGAGAAATTGGAACGTAGTACTTAGACTAAAATATAATCCTATCAATTTTACATAAAATATTGATAGGAAATAAAAATTTAGCATCCCTAGTGTGAATTCACTAGACTGCACAAAATACAAATATATAGATTAAGGAAAGTTAACATAATCTTTTTATGGGAACTAAAATCAATTACATGTCAGCTTTGTAGTATTATAAATGTATTTAGTCAGCATAGAATTTTTCCAGCAGTGTTTCTTGCAGATTGAAATTGACTAACCAGATGTTAAATATTAAATAGAACTAATCAAAGCATGGTTCAAGAGACTTTAAAAACAATGATCAAAGGGAGCTATTTATTACCTGATGCATGTTACTGTTGAAATATTGGCTTTGTGATATTATGTTTAAACTTAGTTTTTTTGAGATCACATTTTCTGGCTTTACATGAACAATAATTAATGTTAATGAATTAACTCTTAAACTTTGCAACTGGATCACTTTACATAATAATGGCCAATAACTTGACGGAGAAATGTAAAGCTCAATTTAGAGACATAAAACCTGAATGTGGTAGTCCATATATAACTTAGTATTGCTATAAGCACAGTTACATGTTAGTTAATGATGAGGATACGTCTGTCCTGAGGCAGCTGTGTGAATATCCTAGAGTGTAGTTACACAAACCAAGGTGCTATAGCCTAGTACACACCCGTGATACATTAAAAACATGATATAGCCTATTACTCCTAGGGCTGTTTGCAAAAAAAAATGATTAAATGGTAGAGCAAGGGAAAATGACTCGATCTGCAGTCTCAGTAAACATCAAATGTAGGGGGCTCTGTTGGAGTGACTTGGCATCTTGGGCAGAATTTATTTTATTTTATTTATTTATTTTTTTTGAGACGGGGTCTCACTATGTAGTTGAGGCTGACCTGGAACTCACTGTGTAGCTCAGGCTGGTTTTGAACTCAGAGTGATCCTCCTGCCTCAGCCTCCCGAGTGCGGGGATTACAGGAGTGCGCCACTATGCCTGGCAGAAAATGTTTTTTTATAAGTAAAAGGACACTGTAAAATGAAGGGAAAAGTACCATACAGGAAACATATAAACCAGTAACCTTGTCGCTTCCTGTCATTATTAAGAATTATGTACCATGTATCAGTGTATTAGCTGTTGTACTTTTATACGGCGGGCAGTACAGTAGGTTTATTTACATCCGCATCACTGACTACGAGGTTACAGGGGCTACATCATCACGAGGTTATCTGAAACCTTTAGCTCCATTATAATCCTATGGGACTACCACTGTGAATGTAGTCTGCTGTTGGTTGAACAATCATTATGTAACATATGACATAGTGAAAGCTACTAGAGCTCATTTGTCTACACACACACATAAAACCATATCTAAGCTTACACACAAGAACAAAAGAGAATGAAATACTAGAACCACTTCTGGGGAAGCTTGGAGCTATCAGTTGGTAAGGCCTTTAGTTTTCAGAAAATTAAGTGTTTTATTTCCAAATATTGGATTAAAGGGCAGGGGATTTAGCTCAACCTTTCCGCCACCTGCCTTGAGTTCGATGCCCGGTACCAAAAAAACAACAACAAAAAAAACCCCAAAACAAAACAGAACAAAACAAAAATAATGGATTAAAATTGATTTTAGGGGACAGACTGCCAGGAAAAAGCATTCTGTTACTTCTGATAAGCTCATCCTGTTGTTTAACCATGGTGCCAATATGTTTTGCTTATATTCAATGGAAATCTGCTGTAAGATCTTATTTAAGCCCATTTTCTCCTGAAATATATTTAGAAAAACAGACTTGATAGACTTTTTAGCATGCGATGCGCTTAATCTTATTAATAATATTTTATACAAATATACTTAATGAAACATCTCTTGAGTTTTCAAAGCTCCAATAAACCCAGAAATTGACAGCCATATTTTCACCAATATATAAATGCTTTTTAAAATTCATATTGGAGAGAAAAAAGGGAAATGAGGTCAAACTATAAAGACATGTTCAAAATATTCTCATTTTTAAATTTCCTTGCTTCTACTAAGTTGTTTTTTGAACCAATTTTCAGTCAATTCCTGCTTGTTTTTAATTAGTTGTTTTCTACTTACTGGTAGTCACTTTTAGTTAACCACTGTAACAAAATTTTAAAGAAAAAAATGAGTTTTGACATAGGTAGTATTGATTCTTCTATTGAAGTGAAGATTTACAATATGCCGTACTAGCCTCGGTACCTTGAATATATGAAGCTCTATTGTAGTTTCAAAAACCATAGGAAAGAGACAGACAGATCTTTTGCAAATGGAAAAGGGACCAAAGGATGGAGGGAGGGGAGATAGAGAGCATGAAAAGGGGAGGTAAAAAGAAGTAAGATATGTTGTCTCAATGCTCCAACTCCCCACTGTGAATGGAATCATTATGTACTACAAACATATACTAATACAATGAAATACTTAAAATGCATAGGGCTGAGGATGTAGCTCAATGGTAGAGTGCTTGTAGGCCCTGAGTTTGATCCTAGCACCATGAATGAATGAATGAATGAATAAGGACAAATCCATCATTGGAAAGTGGTTTATATTCATATACCTCTACCCTACATGTCTATCTTTAAGTTTTATTTGTATACTATCTACAATGGCTCTTTTCAGCTGACTCAGGAGCTACTTTCTTCAAAAGTTCTCCTTTCCGATAAAATGCAAGTCATTGGGTAGATGCAGAAATATGCAGTTTGTGGCTTTTGGCATTTATA